GTGGGGAAGGAAAGAGGAAGAGAATAAACATTTATATAGCACCTACTATGTGCCAGGCACTGTGCCAAGTACTTTTTACAAATATTATCTCATTTAATCCTCACAACAACCCTGTGAGGTAGGTGCTGTTATTATCCCCATTTTACAGTTGAGGAAACTGAGGCAAACAGGTTAAGTGACTTCCCCAAGGTTGCACAAATAGTATGTGTCTGAGGCAAGATTTGAACTCAAGTTCTTCCTGACTCCAGGCCCAGTGCTCTAACCACTGCAATAGCTGCCTAGGTAGGTAAAGTTAAACGTAAATTGTCAGTTATAAAGCCAGGCACTTTGAGGGAGGGGGAGGGGTCTGGGGATTAATTTCTCAAGTTAAAGAGGGTAGATTAGAGTACTCTAGAAGACTAATGATATCTCCATTTGGCTGTATTCAGAGCTGGCCCACAAGCACTGGCAAAGTATACTGCCTATATGGTGTCATTAGAAAGGTGTTTGCCGAGAGGCCTGTCTCCCCCAAACTATTTCCTTCACTGGCCTGCCAACAGCTCTGAAATTCCCAGCACTAATGTGAGCATTAGCATTGGCTAGTCACTGTGCCTTAAGTGTTCTGTAACTGGGAGAAGATATTATCTGGGGGGATGGGGTAAAGTGGAAAGTTGCCAAGGACAATCATGGCCCACTTCACAGCCTGGGGCTGGTTTCAACCCTAGCACACATAAGTGATATCTTATTCATTTGGGAGCACTTGGATCATTGGGGCCTTGATTGCTGGGATGAATGGAAGATACAAATGATGAGCTTGAAAGCTAAGCGTTTCCACTTAGGTTGTATGTTGTATCAGACTGTACTTACCACACAAAGAAACCATGAGAAATCATGGTGGTCTATAAGCCTCAAATGGTCTTCTCAGGGCCTGGATGGCCTCAGCTGACCCTTCTTCCCCTTACCATCTATGTTTCTTTTTATCCAGAAAAGCCACATTTGCATTTTACCAAGTGTTAATGTGGCATTTCCTTTGGACTTTCTATCTTAGGGTCTGTCAGAGGGGACAGGCCTTTACCTTGGTGGAGAAGGTTGTCTAATCTTCCTGCCAATGCCAGAGAAAGCCTCAAGGGCCAGGAAATAGCTGATTTGCACTTAGATGTCCTTTCGCTTTGGTGAGTTTGAAAGGTAGCTATTGGTTTTCTTTTTTTACCAAGGAGTTTGGAATGATTTTACTTATTACGTTAAGTAATATTAGAAGTGCTAATGAAAACTTGGCTAGGATTATAAAAAGAGCATTTTTTTTTCATTTCTTAAATCATTTGGCTCTGCTACCCAATACAGCAATAAACTTTTAAATGTATGTGTATATATAGATATATGTATACTTTGTTTATTTAATCTATGATTCCAAGGCATAACTTTCTCCTTTTTTATATACATGTATTTATATGTGTATTTGTATATTTAATAATATTTTTATTTTCCCCAATTACATATTAAAACAATTTTTAACATTTTAAAAAAAGTTTTGAGTTCCAAATTCTATTCCTCCCCCCTTCCCTCCCCTTTCCCCTCCATGAGACAATAAGCAATCCAATATAGATTATACATGTGCAATCATGTAAAACATTTCCATATTATTTATTTTGTACAAGAAAACTCAAACAATTAAAAAAGTGAAAAATAGCATGTTTCAGTCGGTATTCAGACAACATCAGTTCTTTCTCTGAAGGTGGTTCATCATGAGTCCTTTGGGATTATCTTAGATCATTGTATTGCTGAGAATATCTAAGTCATTCACAATTCTTCACTGTATAATACTGTTGTTACTGTGTATAATGTTCTCCTGGTTCTGCTCACATCAGTTCATGTAAGTCTGTCCAGGTTTTTCTGAAATCTTAATGCTTGTCATTTCGTATAGCAAAATAATATTCCATCACAATCATATGCAACAGCTTGTCTAGCCATTCCCTAATTGATGGGTATCCCCTCAATTTCTAATTCTTAGCCACCACAAAAAGAGATGCTATCAATATCTTTGTACAAATAGGTCCTTTCCCCTTTTTTGGATCTTTTGGGGATACAGACCCAGCAGTGAGCAGATTACATTCCACTTAATTTGGTCCCCATATTTTGGAGTCCTATCTATTTGACCTGTACCAAGTGTGGGGAAGAGAGGAAGAAAAGAAAGAAGGATTCCCCCTCCCCCTCCATAAGTGCACATATATATTGGAAGGAAGGAAACATTTATTAAACACCAACTATATCTCAAGAACTTTGCTAAGTGCTTTACAAATATCATTTCATTGGAACCTTACAACAACTCTAGGAAGCAGGGTTTTGTAGTATTACCATTACCACTATGTACTGCTATTATAATAGAGAGATATGGATGGAAGACTTTGTTAGCAAAGGTACTGGGGTAGAAGAACCCAATCTAGGACTTGAAGTGATCATCTTTGTGCCATAAATGAGCTTTAGAGCTTTTATTTATATCTGAGTTGGGGAGATATTTAGGCTAGGTTCATGTTGCATTCAGTGCTGGCATACTGTTGTCAAATTAGAGTTTCATAGTGTGGTGAATAGTTGGCGGAAGCCAACGATCAGGTTGGACTCTGGAAGGTTTAATAGCAGCTTGGCAAGGGTAGTTTGGCATTTCCTTCCCATTTCCCTCTGTGTTTGTTTTGTGTGTCCCTACATAAACCCATGGTAAGACAATCAAACCCACCTCTATCCTTTTATCATGTCTATTGTATTTATAATCTGTGATCGGGTCTTTGCTGCTCTCAAACCAGGAAATATAGTGGATTGAAGGGAAAACTTAAATGGGCATTCAGCCAAAGGGCTGCAGATTCAGCCTAGGAATTGCATGTTTGATTCTTTGCAACTGAGCTAAATCCCTCCTCATCTAGAAAGAGGGGTGGACAGTTTATGTGACATAAAACTCCTATGTACATTTGTACACAATACATAATTGTAATGGTACCCATACCTAAAGTTCAACAATGAGCTAATGTTTGACACTTGCCTGAGGTATCAGTATATATGTTCATTGCTCAACAAAAACCAGAAAGAGTAAGTTTCCATTTTAAGAGAAATCTTAATACATTTACTCTGTGGTGTGTGTGTGTGTGTGTGTGTGTGTGTGTGTGTGTAAATGTATGTATATATGTGCATATATTTACATATATACACATACAAATATATTTCCACGTACATAGAGATTTACATACAAACAAATATATACACATACACACATCTCATGGACTTCTTTTCTGGTGTTTTGGTTTGAACATTGGGCAGCTTCTTAAGGCTTAATATTAGGCTGCATTTATTATTAATCAGCCTATACACACACAAACCCACATGCAGAAGAACCTTGCTATAAATATATATTATTGAGTGCAATTCTGCTAAGGAATCAGACTCCATCTCAGAGACTTGAGTTATGGAGGTATTAAACGGACCTCACTTTTAGGCCATATTACCTCTAACACAGTCCCCAGCACTAGGCAACCTTAGAGTGTGGCTCCAATGCGTGTATACTATGCCTCTCTTTCACGAAAAGAAAGATGTTGCTAAGTGTCATTCTAAGAAATTATCTATTTTCCACGATAAAATACAATGGCTTCCCATGAGACTTTATATTTTTCCCTCTGGACTGAAACTTTTCAGCCTTGTGGTCACTCATCCCACCACTAAGCTGTCCCCTTAGAGGCCAGCATATAAATAGAACCTCCCTGGAGAGTAAGTCTTGAGGCTATGAGCTGAAAAGATGTCCAAACCTAGTAGTCACAAATCAAAGCAATATAGTGATAGATGAAAGCCTATTAATTTGAATCACTTGGGCGAGTTTATGTAACAGTTTCTGAAACCGTGGAGAGTGATGCTATTTGTCTCTGAGAGTTTCTTGCCTGACTTTCTCCTTTTGTAGACAGAAATGCATTGATCCATTTCACAAAAGCAACATACATCTATTAAGCACCTAGAATGTGACCAACATTGTGTTAGACACTAATCATACAAAGCTGAAAAAGAACACTGTCTCTGCCTTCAAAGAGCCTGTGGTCTTGCAGCAGGTGACTACAGAATTAGTGATATGGTAGTAATTAATGGCAATACTTAAAAGCTCATTGAGGCAGCTAAAATCCAGGCTCAGACGCTTATTAGCTGTGTGACCCTAGGCAAGTCACTTAACCCTGTTTGCGTCATTTCATTTTCCTCATCTGTAAAACAAGCTGGAGTAGGAAATGGCAAACCACCCCAGTAACCTTGCCAAGAAAACTTCATACAGGGTCACAAAGAGACATGACTGAAATGACTAAACAACAAAAAGATCATTAAATGGACTTTATTTTCAGGTAACTTCAGTACTGGATTTCAATTCTCTTTTAACTAACAGGCCCTTATTTTGAAAAGCAGTTAGTTTTTCATCACTCTTTGTGTATAGATAATGATAAATCCCAAATTCACAAGGATGTGAACCCAGTGGTCAAGCAGAGCTTGGATCAAATTCACCATAATTGCTGAGTTCTTAGAAGATCCTGGGGCTGATAACAAGGCTGGTCAACACAGCTGACACTGCTGTTTCCTGCCCACCCCCCCACACCTCTGACACATGCTGACTGTGTGACCCTGAGTGAGTCACTTAATCTCTCATTGCTTTAGGTAACTCTCTAAGATTGCCTTGCAGAGAAAGTGAAGACCTGAAGTGGAAGAGATTTCCCCATCAAGGAGCTCCCCATATTAGAGTAATACAGATCTGGTGCCTATCTATATCCCTAACTACATTTAATCAGCTCATTTGGGCTCTCTCCCAATTCTGGGTTACCCCCAGTCCCTGATTCTGTCACAGGCTTCTTATTTTCTAGCCTTATCCAATCCCTTCTTCACTCCCCCATTCTTACTGCTCATGGTGCTTCCACTAATTTGCTCAGTTCCTTCCTTATAGGGCTTTGCCATCAAAGGAAACAAAACCACAGAGAAATATAAAGTATTTAAAGACCTAATGCAAGTCACCATGGAGATGATCACTTTAATCTGTAGCTAATTCATTATATCCATACTCTCCCTTGACTAGGATCAAAGTTTAATCTATCCATTTAAAGAGAAAGATATTCCTTCTAGTCTAAATTTATCCTAAGCAGGATTCTTTTCTTGGAGAACAAAGAAGAAAAGCTAGGACACATGCTGTCGAGTTAGCTCAAGGGAGAGGGAAACCATGGGACTTGAATTGCTTTTCTGGAAGTCCATCTCATCATCATCCAGCTATGTTTGCCCAGAATTTCATTATGCAGTATCTTCCTTTACCAAAATATCCAGTCCAGGAACCAGAAATCACTTTCGCTTGGCTTCCTTCTAAAGAACTATATATCTGAAACACAAAGACAATAATGTAGGTGAGCCCTTGCAAGAGAGAACAAAACTGGGATCTGACTGCCTCTCTCTATTCCATCTTGACTTGGCTTGACTTTCTCTTTCTTTCATCCCTCCATTAAGGAGTTTCCATTGGACCTGCCCTTCTAGACAGTGCCACATGCCGTTTGCTTCCTTATTGTCAAGGTTTATCTGTCTAGGGTGACACATTTAAACCATTATCGGTGAAGAGTATTTAATTATCTAGCAAGGCATTGAGAAAGTAGGACATGGACAGTCTATTTTGATTGGTATGAGTGTGAAGGAGGTGAAAGAGAGGCTTCTGAGAGGGTACCAGGGCAGTCCAGGAGCACAGCATAAAGCAGAAGACTTTCACTGACTATCTCTAACGTACCCAGTTCTGAGCTAGATACTTGGCAGGGGGAAAAGGGAGAGAAAGAAAACTACAATACATAGTCTCTGCCCTTAAAAAAGACTTTCATAAGGAGACAAAACATATGCAACATTAAGAGATGAAAACAACAGCTAAGTTGTTGTTGAATTGTTTCAGTTGTGTCTGACTCTCCATGACCCCATTTGAGGTTTTCTTGGCAAAGATACTGGAGTGGTTTGCCATTTCCTTCTACAACTCATTTTACATATGAGGAAGCTGAGGCAAACAAGGTTAAGTGACTTACCCAAGGTCACATAGCTAGTAAGTGTCTGAAGCTGGATTTGAACTCAGATCTTCTTGACTACAGGGCTAGTACTCTATCCATTCTGCCACCTAGCTGCCCAACAGCTAAGTAGTATGATACTGAAAATGCAATGTAAGTTCACAGAAGGGAAGAAAGAGCTCATTTGCCTTAGTGTAGTTGGGGAAACTGCAGAAGTGGTGGAATCTGACTCACGTCTTGAATGATATGTAAAATTTGAATGGATGACATGAGGGCAGCAAGCAATGGGAGGCCTAGGTGAACAGACAGTGAAATCCTCATCGTTTTTATCATAATTGCTTATATTTTACAAAGCACTTGACAGTTACAAAGCACTTCCTAAAAATCCGGTGAGAGGTAATCCCCCAACTTTATTGATTCCCTTCCCCATTTTAGAGATGAAGGAAAGTGACCTTTGGGGAGGCCAACTGAATTAACCAAGGTAACACACACAGCAAGTTGCCGAGCTGGGACCCAAGCTTAGCTGTCCTGTTTCTAAGTCCTGTGGCCCTTCCATTACACCAAACCTACCTAGTCAGTCAATTCCCCTAGAACTGACCCTGTCTATGATAGCAGATAGAATCACAAATGTAGAGTTGGAAGGGACCTAAGAGGCCATTAAGTCTAACCCCCTCATTTCACATGTGAGGAAAATGAGGCCCAGAGAGCTGATGTTGACTGGTCACCTAGGGAGTAAGTAAGGGCCAGGGCTGGGGCTAAGTCTAACCTATGTCTCTGACTCCAAATCTACTGCTTTTCCTGCTGCTCCCCTCAGGCCACTTGGGGAAGGAAAATGAACATTCAGGGTTTGCTGCTCCTGTGGGCTAGTGGATTGTTATGTTTGACCCTGGGTAACTTGACTAGATAAAAATGTCCAATGTGGTTTCCAGCCTTCTTTGGACAGGTTCATTCCTTATGCTCTCTGTATATTACTGCTAAGAGCTCAGCCTGATGCATGACTGAAGTCTAGTTCTAGAACCTGTATCCAATAGAACAGAAACAGAAAATAGAGCGAAATTTATTGTAGGCTCTACAAATCATCTATCTATCTATCTATCTATCTGTCTATCTATCTATCTATCTATCTATCTATCTATTATCTATCCTGATATAAATCCCATAATTCCACAATTAGAACTTCTTCCCTTTGACTTAAGACAACCAAATGCTGTGTTCTAGGTTAAAATACAAATTCCTCTAGGAGAGGGTCATACTTTAAATCTGATCAGTCATTTACACTTGAGTCTGAATGACTTTGGGAGAGCAGTCTATCTGTCTGTCTCTCCCCCCTCTCTCTTGTTCTAGGAGAAGGAAGAGTGTGAGAATTTGAAAACCCAGGGGAAGAGGGTTGGGAGAGTTCAAAAGGTGAAGAAAAAAGAGCTTGCAACACTGAAGACAAAGTTGACTCCCTTCACAGTTTTGTTACTGGCCACCTGCTCTGTAAATAGAGTTGGCTTTGCTCCCAGTGGAAAGATGTCCTAGCTATACCCAGTATCTAGCCTTGGATCCAGCCAGACACAGTTTGGGAGGGCAGCCTGGTCATATTGCCAAATGCCCCAAGTCTTTTGAGGGAGGCATGGCCAAGCAAGTCATTTTGTCCCTGGTTTCTATTTCTGCTATAGCTGTGATCTAGGATTGGAACCCAGATCCCTATTTCCCTTCCTCTCCTTCTTCCCCCTCCACATCAAAGGCACAGGTGGCTGCCTTGAGAACCAGGCTCCTAAAAAGCCTGGGAGGCCTCAAAACTTTTTTTTTTTTTGCTATGTTAACATTTTCAAAGGGGACACCCCAGGATCTCAAACTTTGTTTAAAGTATGATTAGCCTACATTGCTGAGTGCCAAAAGTGTCCCAGGCAGAACAAAATATACAATGTGGGTTGCATTTTTTAAATGCTTAAACAATCTTTTCCTTTTTTGGAATGTTATAAACATTCTTCCTCACCCTCATTCCTCACCCACCCACCCACCTCCAAAGACATTACAGTCTTAAGGAGTGACCTTTGCTTCTTGCAGTAAGACTGTCTCTGAGTAAGTCTGATGTTCTGGATCGCCTTCAACCTTGGAATTTTGTCAGGTAGCCATGGAAGTGCTGACCTAACCTAATGCTTCTCAAGTTTCAGCCACTGGCTGCTGCCATCCAAAAACATTTTGTTTTGACCCCAATCCTAAATGCTGCCTTCATTTAAAGCTCCCAACCCTCTGATTCAAGCCCAGGAAGATAGAGCAGAGGAAATTTGTAGTAGTGTTGAAAGTGCCTTTGGAAGGGACACCCTGTCCCTCACACTGCTTACTCTTAAGCAAGAAAAAAAAAAAAGAAAAACCACACTGTGCTCTATGTTCCCTGATAAGATTAGGCAATAAATTCATATAATCTGTCTCTCTCTCCTCTCTCCTCTATCCCCCCCACCCCAAGTCTCTCTCTCTCTCTCTCTCTCTCTCTCTCTCTCTCTCTCTCTCTCTCTCTCTCTCTCTCTCTCTCACATTGCTTTACTGGCAGTAAGACAGAACATTTATGTAACCTACCTGCACCACGAAGCCGCATCCCCTTGCAAAGAACAGCCAAGCCATTTCTTCACACGAGCTGCATGTAGCTTTAACAGGCCCACGCCTTCATTAACAGAAGACAAAGGTTTGTCCCTGGCATCAGGCCCACGTTCACCCTGACAGCAGGAGCTGCTGCCTGCCAAAGCAAAGTCCCGATGCTCCCGTCCAGAACATAGTGCTGCTTGCTGTTCAGGGAGGACGTGTACATGGCTCTATTTCTGGGAGCCTGTGTTCAGACTGAAAATTCAGCGCTCACATGTTAGAAAGGAGCCATGTGGCATGATTGAAAGATCACATTCTTGGGAGGCCGGAGATCAGGAGTGTAGTCCCTGCTCATAGGATCAAAGAGTGAGGGTTGAAATGGATCTCAGTTCTAATGCTAATTGGCTAGCCCCTGGCTAGCACGAGTTGGCCTTAACCTCTGGGCCTCTGGCTTCTTATTTGCCCTCTCTTTTGAAAACATAAAAGTGCTCATTAGAACACAAGCTTTTCTGAAGCTGAGATTGGTGCATTCTTTGTATTTGTGTCTCTACTACCTAATAGCTTATCTGGAACACAGTAGGTGCTTAATAAATGCTTGCTGACTTGTCCGATAAAAATGAAAACAAGAGAAACCTTGGTTCTGACTTGGTTTGCACAGGCCAAGCTCCCAGGAGATTATCTAGGGTCACCACCATAGATAATCCACAAAAAGGATAAACTGCAAAGCTTCCTTCTCTACAGGAGAAGACTAATTTTGTCAGAAGAATTTTACAAAGTGCATAGCTCAGGAAGAGGTGGGCTTTAACCAGCATGATGGGCATAATGAATATAGAGGCAGGAGAGAGGAAGACAGAAGACAGGAGAGTTCAAAACAGTAGCTTTAAGGTTCACAAAGCACTGCTCAAATGTTATCTCATTTGATCCTCACAGCAACCTTGAGGGGTAAGTGCTATTATCCTCATTTTACTGATAAGGCGGATAGAGGTTAAATGACTTTTCCAGGGTCACACAGCTAACAAGAGTCTGAAGCTAGATTAGAACTCAGGTCTATCCTGAAGGGGTCAGGAAGCTCTGTTCACTTGTCACCTAGCTGCCTATTTAATATTCTAATTTGTAGAATATTAGAGCTGAAATGAGCCTTATGTGTTATCTGATCCTTTTACAAATAGGGAAACTGAGGTCCAGAAAGGTTAAGTGTATTGCCTATTATCAGAAAAACTGGGATTGGGACTCAGATTGCAGGTTTATTATTCTTTCCACTTCCTGCCTCCCATGTTCTTCATGTTTGCTAAAGCTTTTTTTAATCCTTCTAGATTAAGTGCTCTTCACCTGGGGTCCACCAGCCTGTATGCAGCCCACGGATAGATTTTAGAGGGTTTGGGAACTTGCATGGGGGGAAAACTGACATCTTTATTTTTGCTAACCTCTTATTGAAATTTAGTATTTGCATCAATTATGAATTTTTTAAAAACCTTATTCTGAGAAAGGGTCCATGGGCTTCACCAGACTGCCAAAAGAGTCCAGGCCACAAGAAAGATTAGGAACCTTTGCTCTAGATACAAGACTATGTACACTACTGCTACCAGCCCCCCCCCACACACACACAGACACACATTTATTGACATCACAACAGATTGTGGGTGCTGCATCCTGATGAAATCCTAGCCACAGCTTAGCAGGTGAGCTTTCATGTATTGTTTTCCCCTTCAGAAGCCCTGGTTAACACATGGAGATAAAACCCGGGACTGGTTAACAAGCTTGCTTCATTAGTCGAGAGAGGGTCCATTAGATGCAGGATGATAGCCAGCCTCTGCCAACTGTACTTGGCTGGGTTTTAGCTATCGTAATACACTCCCCTGAAAACCCGCCAGGCTGACAAAGTGATCAGAGGCCTTGCTAAGCCTCCTCTTCTAGCAGGGGCTAATGCAAAGGGCAGGGAGGGAAGGCACTAGCAGAGGAACAGGAGTTCCTCTTTCCTGCTCCCAGGACTGTTAGAAGCCCTGCCTCCAGGGGTAGAACTAATTAAAGAGTACCCAGTTTTGCCTGGTAGAGCGCCTGGTGAGTATGGTGGCCTATGTGCTGTGGTGAGGAGGTACCCAGAACCCCTCTCATTTTCCGTATGTTCTCCTCCACCATTATTGAGATTCATTCCTTGGAGTTCCAAGATCAAGCCCAAGAGGCCTCCATTTACATTCAAGTCCTCCTGGGAAGAGTCACAAACTTCACTGTTGTCAATCACTGACACTTTGGTTTGGTTTAGAGGTACTGAGAAGTTTCCAAGAGAAATATGACATAGAGGCCCTGAGGAAAGGAGAGTTTTGCTGAAAGCATGATTCCTATGATTCACCTCTGACCCCTTTAGAATCCTTTATTTCCTTCAAGGCTTACCTCAAGCATCGCCTTCTGAGTCCCTTCTGTTCCTCTGCTAGTGCCTTCCCTCCCCACCCTTAAAGGCACATGTCTCCCTTGGCTAGATTGTAAGCCTCTTGAGGTCAGGGGCTGTTTTACACCTATGAGCCTGGTCCTTAATAAGTGCGCATTGTATGATTAGGGAAACCTAGAGAGGGTAAGCCTGGGTAAGGTTATTCTAGTTGGATGGGAAGGGAGGGAGTACTAGGGAAGCAAGCAGGCATCAGAAAGGGAAAAAAGATACAAAAAGGTGAACTTGGGGAGGGGTGTCAAAGACAAACTTTTATTAATAGCATCTACATATTTTTACTTAATGAAAGGTACCGGTACTTTGCTGACATTTTATTACTAGCATTTACACAGCACTTTACACATCACTGTTGAGTGCTTTACACATTTGATTAATCTGGATCCTCACAAGAGGCCTGTGAGGTAGGTTTTAATTATTATCCCCATTAGGATTACACAGCTGGTGTCTGCAGCAGGATTTAAACTCTCGTCTTTCTGACACCAGGGCCATTGTTTTCTCTCTTTCCCTAGACTCCATCACCATTCTGGTGAGGAGCTGACCTCGCCTAGAAGCCATCATTACCGCAGTGCCTCAGTGCCCCTTCAGGTGGGTGAAAGCCACTGGTCCACTCATGGTGTTATCTTCTCCTCCCTCTAGGCGAGAGACCCTTTGCTTGCAGCTGGCAGGACTGCAGTAAGAAATTCGCCCGGTCCGATGAGCTCGCCCGGCACTACCGCACCCACACAGGGGAGAAGAAATTCAGCTGCCCCATCTGTGAGAAGCGTTTCATGCGCAGTGACCACCTGACCAAACACGCCCGCCGCCACGCCAACTTCCACCCTAGCATGCTCCAGCGGCGAAGCGGGAGCAGCTCCAGGACGGGATCGGTCAGTGACTACAGCCGCTCGGATGCCAGCAGCCCCACCATCAGCCCTGCCAGCTCGCCCTGAATCTCCCTGGCCCGGACAGCCGAGAAACCTACCATGCACTCTGTGGAGTCTGACTTGGGTTGCACACTTGGGCCTCTTGCTTGTAGTTGCTGTTTAATTTTTTTGGGGGGAGGGGTGGGAGGAAATAGTTCAGTTATAGCTTGCAGTCTTGGCAAATACTTGTCGCCTCCTCCTGTGGGTGGCTGAACTAATCTTATCAATGGACGGATTGAATTCATTTCCTGTACCTAAATATTCCTTTTGTTTTATAGCCATATGCTTCTTGTTAACCTATATTTTTTTTTAAAGAGAAAAACATTTTTTAAAAGCCAACAACAACAACAAAACTTTTCTTCACCTCAGGTGTCAAAACAGATTTGTAAAAAAGAAAAAAAGAAAAAAAAAGAAAAAAAGAAAGAAATGAAAAAAATACAAAAAAATTAAAAAAAAAACAAATTGCACAATAGAAACAACCACGTGATTAAAATTCAACTATGTTGAACTCTTCCCCCCCCCACCCCTTCCCCTTTCTCAGGGATGGATATTTATGTTACACAATAAGTACAGTGAAGACACACCCTTACTGCAGCCTTACTCTGTAAATAGATTTGCACTCAGAAGTTTTCTGTTAGATTCTTTCACACACTGGGGAAAAAGACAGACAATAATAATGATAATAATAATAAAAGAAACAAGGACTGGAAGCTAGTGCTCGACTGGTCAGTTTCATGATGGAAATGCGTTCTTTTGGTTTATGTTAACACGTGGGACCAAACTCAGAGGTCTGGGAGCTATAGCCTGCTTAGGAAAATGCGCTGCTCTGGTTTTGCTTCCGGCTCTATCCAACCCCTACCCCATCCCCAGGCCCTTGCCACCTCCACTCCCTTACCCCTACTCCCAGTCACCAGCCCATTGCTTCTGAGTGCCGAGCCTGTAACCCTGGTTATTTCTTCAAGATGGGATCCCACTTCCAATCACAGAAACAAAAAGCAAAATTCTCCCCATTCAAGGCCCAAGTTGAAGGCACTTATGCCTTACAGAGACCCCCCAAAGTGATGCCTTAAGCCTGATTGGCAAATGGAAGAAAAGCCACAGCTGTGCTAAGGCCCCCACTTCTACTGATAGATGGCATCACCCTCCACAGAGAGGCAGCCTCTCCTTCTATAGTTATTCTTGTCCCTGAGGACACTTTTTTCCCAAGTGGTCGAGCTCAAAGCATTCTCTCTCTACTGAATTATCAGGAAATGCTAAAGCCCTATCACTGAGACCAATTTTCCCCCTTTGTTGAAGTGCTGAGGAAGCAGAATGTGGAAGGAGTCCTTTGCTGGCCCCTCTTCCCCTGCCCCCACTCAGAGTCTTATTAAGGTACTTACCTACTGCGCCCATGGAAGCCACTGAGATACCAAACTTGCACAACACAGGAAGTTCCTCTACCCCCTTGCAACATAACTGTGGTGAATGGTAAACGCAAAAAGAACCTTTTATTATAACATGTACTCTGACTGCAAAAATAAAATATGCCTATTTTTTTTTAAGTGTCAAAAAGTGTTATTAGATCACCCATGGTTCAAAAATCTCCACTGATCCTTAACGCATCCTCATAGCTGCTGTTAAGGCATCTTCCATGTTTAGAAAACGGGAATTTGAAGGGGTAAGTTTTAACTATTGGGGCATTTTATCAAGTGTGCGGGTAGCTTGTGTGCCACATATATGTATATAGAATACATATATGTAACCATGCACAATAGGCTGCACAATTTGCATTCTATTGCAAGAGACTGGAACATTGTGACTTGGAGACATTTTTTCATGGGTAAAGTGAACCCATCTAGAAAAAATGCTGGCAGAACAATCTACAAACCCCACCCCTTCCTCCAGCTTCTCCCACAAGGAACTGTATAAAGCATTACAGGGACTTTCCCCCTCGTCCTAAGCTGCCGCTTTGGGATGGAGGGGTAGGGGAGGAAGATCCAACTTTATGTCCTTAGGTCCTTTTCCCACAGTCAGGGTCAGCCTCAATCAAAACTGATCTTTGGTGACCATTTCACATCCCTTTTCCTTGATCATATTCCCTGTTCTCAGCACCCCTTCATTCCCTCCTCCCACCTCCAGGACAAGTAGTTCTTCAACACCTAGTGCTGTAGAAACCCTCCACTTCTGTTATTTTTCAGAATACACTTCACTTTGCCTGGGAGCAAATGACCATCAAGTTGTATGCAATGGCCTGAGTTATCAAGTCCTTTTGGTTTATCTGGGTTAGTTCAGAGGGAGTTTCTTGAACTGGGGTGGGTCCTTTGGACCTCTATTTTGCATTTTAATTTCATGTTACTGTAAGAATGGAAATGTCACAGAGTGTAGCATAGCAAAGAAATTACAACCAACCAACATATATAGATATGTGTGTATGTACACAAACACACACACACACACACACACACACATAGTACCCTGATCTGCTGTTTGTCATCAAGCAAATGCCTCCACATTCCAAAGGAATTTCAATTCCTCTCTCATTTTGCTGCTTTGCACTGTTTCAATTTGCCAGTTTCTAATTTTGTACTGTATGTTAACTGTGATAGGCTAATA